CCCCCTCGGACCTGCTCATTTATTTTGTGTACTTGAGCTATTGGCAATGGCTAATGGATGTGTTCATGTTGTTTATGTTTCAGAACGCGCGTGAGCTTAGCTGTCTCCCCTTGATGGAGTTTCAGCTGGATAGCAGCGAGTACTGCCAGGCCCAACACAAATAAGCGGCGCGACCCCGAGCCCGGCCCCAGGGTCCGATCAGGAGCCAAGCTGCAGCCCCGACGATCCGCTCCCCCCTAGGCTTTTCAAATCCCCCGCCCGCTGCCCGGATCCGCCTCGCACCGCGTCGCTTCTTCCGCCAGCCTGGTCCTAGACCGACCGAACGGCCCCCCCGGCCCCGTTGATGGGTTGAAACCACGGCTGGACTGGTTGATCTGGACGGTGCGTAACATCCCCTGCTCAAGCGTCACAACCCCACCCCCCATCCCACCCCCCGCCTCATCTCATCTCATCTCATCACTCAAACCACACCACTCTCCGCGGCGCGAGTTCCTCCAGGAGCAGAGTCGGCTAGCGCGCTCTGGTGGCACCCGAGCGGAACTACATGAAAATGACGCGCATCGAGGACATCCGACCCGGGCCGTGCTTCATCGAGTACAAAGGATATAAATTTCTCATCACAGACAGGCCTAACGATAGGAATCTGCCAAACTACATTGCGGTGAGTTTCTTTCTATTTATATTCTGTACTGTCTTCACACGTACTCTGTAACCAGGGGAGAGGACGAAAGTGTCGGCAATTTTGAGGTTAGAGCATTCACAGGATCAAAGCAGAGCCCTCAAAGTGGCTCATCGATGGCATTTTTTACCGCTAGCCTCTTGAAGATCGTTAGCCCGACAATTTTTGAAGGTAACCGATGTGTTCGGAACAAATCATAGATCACATCTTGAAAGTTTCAAGGAATTTAAAGCACAACTGGCTAAGATATTAAAGAGTAAGTGCCACTTTGAGAACTCTCCTTTGATGGTACGACAACACGGGCCGAGGTCATTGAGCTTCTAAAACTCCAAAGGGCAGCCAATCTATGAATACAAATCATACAGAGTGTTTTTTTAGTACCATTGTTACGACCCGTCGTTCGTAAAGCAGGTATTTGACTTAGTTTTTGCATAATTTTACTCATTTTTGCGGCAACGCTCTTTCAAGAACGTTCTTGGCCATCTTGGTTTAATGTTTGAATCTAAAGATTGGCAGTGAAATTTTTTGTGTTGAAAGGTTGGCTGCATTTTTGGGCTCTTAGAGCTCCATATTTCGACATGTCCGTACTCTCCCTATGTGGGTATTCTAAGACTAACTAAACGAGTGCTGACGATGTAAAGGATTGGGTATTCTATCGATTGGAGAAAGCCAACTCAAACCGGGACAGTCGTTCGACGGGTGGACGGGGTTGCAGCTTTTATCGTCTCATCCTTAAAATCTGATAATTAAATGGGTTTTAGGGAATTATAAAATTTAAGGGTTTAACCATGAAACTTACAGTTTAGTTACTGTACAGTTAGTTCGTGATGAACCCGAGGTTTTTTACCGGGACACAGATTTTCTAACAGGCCATTTTAAGTTTGGTACAAATCCGAAAACAACGAAAAAGTCCTGCAAGAAACCATGGAAACCTTCAGTCCATGTATGCTAGCTATAGACCGTATTCGATAACGGTTCGATGTATCGTTTGGTCAAAACAAAAGAACATAACCTCAAACCAAACTTTGAGGATTTTAATTGGAAAAGCTGAAAATGAGAAATTTCCTGACAATTTCACTTTGCATTGGCATTGGGTACTCAAAAGAATAAAAAATCTGTTTCAAAAGATCCGTTCTCTCAGATTTCTGAATTTACTTTTGAGGCTATGTTTATGTTTTGAACCAATCGATATCGATACAATCTCACCCGTTTGATGTATCGAATACGATCTATTGGTTTCCCTATGCAAAAAGGTACTTCTATGGAAGAGCCAGAGACAGTGGTTTCGTATTGTAATGTGTAATGCTCTGGAGTATTGGCTTCTAGATTTCCAGGGAATTATACACAATCAGGAGACGTGTTAACGCCTTACCCCCGAGCTAAAAGAAATAGTTGCGATTTAAACAGCAACAAAACTTGAAAACTCCTCCTCCAGCTTAGCTTACAAAAAACAATTCGCTCGCGGCGGAAATAAGTTAGACCGTGACGCACTTCACCTCGGCTCGGCTTGGTCGGATAAATAAGTGACGTCTCCGTGACGTCATCCGCCCGACCAACGGCAGACACCCAATGTTTACTCTACTGCAGCGCTCGCACCTGTGTCCCCGGTCGGTCGCAGCCCCCGCCCCCTCCCCCTCCCCCTCCCCCAACCTCCACTTCTATTTTTGGCATTGACGCCCGCGACAGCCTCGTCGAGCCCCCGTCGAGCACCTGGGCTCCAGTGCTTGGGAAAAACGTCGTATGAGCGTTCGGACGTCGCCAAATTTCCGTCGTTAAAAAGGACATTTTTTCGAAAAAGAGAGAAGGCCTGTCCTGCCGTGCTAAGGAAGAACGCCGTACACTGGGGGAAAAAATGGACTATTGAGCCTAGCCCCCCCCCCCAAATTTTAGCGTACCCCAAAATCGTTTGACGTGCATAAGGAGACCATAGATATGGTGTTCTGTGCCAATTTTGAATGAAATCGAACGGATAGATTCTGAGATATCGCTGTACACTGATTTGGGGGACGTCGGACGGACGGACACACATTTTTTCAAGTATGGTTATTTTGACTCCTGGGACCTTAAAACGTCTAGAAATGATGAAATTTCAACCTTTTTTTTTTTTGGAGGATGACAATACTTCCTCTCTACCCTAGGGGAGCGAGAAAGTAANGGGAATCGAACCCGGGACCTCCCGATTATAGAGCAAGCGCTACCACCACTACACCATAGGAGGCCGACTTGAAAACATTGACAAGACAAAATACTCTTGATTCAATCAGATTTAAGCTTAAATCAAATTGAAATCCGCTCAAATTAAGAGGCTTGGTTCTTGATTTAAGCTTAAATCTGATCGAATCAAGAGTATTTTGTCTTGTCAATGTTTTTAAGAGTCTGGACTCTGTTGTAGGGCGCATTTTGTTTTTTACCTCGGCTATACTTATTGTTTGGCTTTATCTCTTTCGCTGTCTCTTCCTCCCCCCTTGATTTCTTCTCTTGTTTCCATCTTGACTGAAGAAGAGGGCCATGCCACCATGCCCCCCCTTTCACGCCCCGGCAACTGAAGATACTTTGCGGTTTTGTGTTTGTTTTTTGTTTTATTTTATTTCGCGGAAAACCGCGAAGGCATTTCCGTCGGAATCTATCTGGAGGGGTTTTCGGCATCCGGTTGGGTAAGTCATGACGGACCCGCCGCGGCCGAGAGGTGGGGGGGGGGGGNGGGGGGGGGGGGCTTGCATCGGGGCCCAATGATGAAGTGGATCCCGTTTATGAATCGGACGAGGAACTTAGTCGAGATGAATGGGTTTTTTCTTGCTTTTACTGCTGCCGACTAGACAGTGCCATGTTGCCAGGTCCGTACAGTGATTCAGTAGCTATGTCAATACACAAGAGAAGAAAAACAGAAAGAAATGGCCCCATCTGTATGTAGCAGGGTGGTAAAATGATGGTAGGTCCACACCATTTCGCGGGGGAAACAAAGCCAAAATGTTCTAAAAATTTCAATTTTGATTCTAATTGAACATTTGTGGAACTTTTTGGCTTTGTTTTCCGCGCGAAATGGTACGGATGTAGCACCATTTCACCACCTCGTCAATACACAAGGTGACTTCTTTCAGTAAAACCGGAAAAATCGGAAATATCAAGAAATTCGACGTTTGAAGAAAAATCGGGAAAATTTGCGATGAACTAGGAAATCCTAAGTGCTTCAAGCATTTTTCATACATTTAATTCAATTAAGCAAATTTGTTGATTTTTTTAAATCAAACGAGTGTCAATTCACTCTCGCGACAAATCAGGAAAAAATCGGGAAAGTCTAAAGTTAAAAAAGTGGATACCCGTCACATAGGGTGACAAATTCCATTTTCGAAAGTCGTGGATAAGTCACACTGGAAAAAAAAACACATGGGATCTAGAGTCGAGACTCTTGAAAACATTGACAAGAAAAAGGACTCTTGACTCAATCAGATTTAAGCTTAAATCAAAAGGAAATCCGCTCAAATTAAGAGGCTTGGTTCTTGATTTAGTCCTAAATTTGATTGAATCAAGAATATGTTTTTTTGTCGATGTTTTTAAGAGTCTGGACTCTAGATCCAATGTGTTTTTTTCCAGTGCAGGGAATCTTGAAATGTAAGAAATCGTCACTGTTGTTATTACGATATCCGACTCATTGATTTTCGATGGTTCCAACCTCGACAACTGCGACCCCCTTCGCGAATGTTCCTCCATGCGGACGCCGTGGGATCGACGCGAAGTTGCTCAATCCCAGAAGGCGGCATGACGCAGGCCCCGGTTGCGTCAAACCCCGCAATTCGAATCCTTATTTTATGACGTAATTAAGAACCGTCGGGGCGTCCCGTCTCCAGACTCAATAGATTGTATTCGATAGTGGTTCGATGTATCGTTCCGTTCAAAACAATAGAACATAACCTCCATTTTTTTTTTTTTTTTATTGAGAGTTTAGTGGCTTCTATTCCTTTAGGAATCTACAGGCATCTATAGGCACTATTTATTGTCCGAAGACATCAGGGAGTTTGGTAGACATCCATGCTCGGGCTTACAAATTTTCACGGATTAAGGCCGAGCGAATTCTGCTTACAGATCCACAGATCCACTCGTCAGTTCCATGAAAATTTGTCGCCACCACCGGGATTCGAACCCGGGACCTATTGACCTAGAGTCAGACGCGCTAACCACTAGGCCAACCTGGCCGGCTAACCTCCATTTTAGGATTTAAATAGGAAACGCTGAAAATGAGAAAATTCATAACAATTTCACTCTTCAGTACCATTTTGTGCTCTTAAGCATCAAAAATCTATCATCAAAATTCGTTTCCTCAAATTACTCAATCGACTTTAGAGGCTGTGTATACATGAAGAACCAATCGATATCGATACAAGCGCACCTGTTTGATGGATCGAATACGATCGATTCAAGTCTGGAGAATAACTACTCGTCTCCACTCGATTTAGTACCACCTGAAAGCAAGATGGACAAAAATTACGACTAATCTGTTTTCTTTTCCTTACCAGGACCGTTTCAGCTCGTAGACCCCTAGTTTCCTAAGAGACCAATTGTAAGTGTCTTGTTGGTCTACGCGGTTCGATTTGCCCACTTCATATCACACGAGCAAGTTTCCGCGATACCACTATTCGAGCCTCGGTGTGTTGCGGAATATCGTCGTTATTTAAAGGCGCTTTGAAGAATGGAAGAAAATCTCATCGAAATACTTATACGGCGTTATTCCTCATCACAGTAGCATTACGGGTGTCACGGTTGCGTTCTGAAGGACGCGGCAATCTACAATCTGAATAATGTGTCACGTAAAGCTGAACTAATTTTTGCTCTGACGAAAAGCATTCAACTTTACGTGTCTTAATATCCCAGTTCAAGATTCTTACACTGCGCCCTTTGCAGCGCAACCGTGACACAATCGCGTAACGTTGCTGTAAAGAGGGAGAACGACGTATAATTATTCAAACGGCTCTTTCATCAGTTTTTCA